CTCTCACTCGTGTCCCCTCCACTCAAACCACCAGGATTTCCCACTCCAGCCGAGATCTCACTTTCCTAATCCAGGACTGTCACATCTACGATACCTGCTCTTCTATTTTTGAGTTATGTTTCTATTGTGCATCTGCCCTTGTGAAGGACACAGGGATTTACTAGTCAGTACCAAGAAAAAATATCCATCAAATAAACTATCCTACACCTGTCTACTTTACTACCCAATCAATGAGATCTCTCTCCATCAGTTACACTAATGGAGAATTATATGGCATTAATTAATGTTGTTGGGCTTCAAAACTGTACAAAGCAGGACAACAGCATAGAGATGGAGAGGGTTTCATTTTTAAGCATGCACACAAAAAAAAACAACCCTGCGTACAAATGGACTGACTGCAAAGGGAAAACCCAAATTATTCTGCATCCTTTTATTGAATAGCTCCTTTTCCAAGAGTAAATGGGATCAATAATGAATTAGATTAATAAGACAAGTCTGCCATTTCCTCTGGGACGTGGCGGCAAGTATGTGCGTGGACACAAAGGATAGACTTCAAAACCAAATGTAAGGCTATGCACAGTGTGAACTTACAGTACACCACCTATTCGACAATAACTGCCTGTCTGCACAATGAGAGGTAAATGTCTTTGCATTTATTGTGTGGCAGGAATCTACACACAAGCAGTTACTCAGAGGAACTGACCTGCTATCATAACTTCAGGTCCAAATTTTAAGCGGCCAGGGGGCTGCGTGCCCAGGTGTGTGTCCTCAGGGCCACACAGGGATGGCCAGAAAATGGTATTTAGAGGTTTGCTTTTGGGAATTGGCTTATAGGCAATATATATATGCATTAGACCAACAGTCCAGGGTGGCAGCAAGGGTTAATTGATTTCTACAGACCTGGCCACACAGTCGCATAATTCTCACAGGGTGTCTAACACAACAAGGCTAACGGATATAGGCATAGCCTGGGAAATAGTGGGCATATACCACACTGTTCCGTAACATAACACGGTGACACCAGCTCACAAGGCCCAAGAGAGCAGGGGCCTGAGGTTCCAGTTTTGAGGGAACAGACCAAATTAGAAGAAGGCCTCGAAAACCCAAATTAGGATGCATGTATGTAATGTATTTGTGACAAAAAGGAATATGCTGATAGAACAGAACGTGGACAGTATGATGACCACAGAGAGACCAATCCGCAATAGCCATGGATCAAGAGTCATCAGGAGGGGAAAAGAATACAAAAACAGATTTTAGAGCAACAAAGGGTTCCCCATCCCTGAAAAGGGTCCCTGAGATGGAAACCTGAGGCCACATGGACAGAAGGGTCCCCGAGAGGGGAACCCGAGGCACCATGGACAGAAGGCATACCACCAGCCCGTCTCATCCACCAAACCGGGGAGAGGAAGGGGGAGGGAGGGCCACCTTGGCCTCTAACCGCCAGGCTGCTGCCATATGACATTCAATAGAACCTCAGAGTGAAGCTCATGTCCTGGCCAGACGTATCTCGACTCTGATGACAGCTCTACGATTGGTAGCTATAGAACTGCTTGTATTAGTCTTTTCTGCTATCACTGTGTATCAAGAAATTTGCCTATTATCGAATGGAAAGGCTGTGGTTAGTGCAAGGGTTTAGGTCCACCCAGAACAAGGCCTCTGGGTCATAAATCCAGTGGTAATACACACCACATGGCCTACAACTCCAAACCCCTTCCCCCCAGCCCCACACACACTGCACCACCATGCACCCCACCCAACTGCGCCACACACGCAGGCACCCTGCACCCTACCCTATGTTCCCCAGTCATGTGCTCCCCTGCAGCATCACACCTCAGGCACCCCAGGTGCAGGCTCCCCAGCACTGTAAGCTGCAACATGCTGCACCACCCTGTCCTGCCCCCTGCAGAGGGAGCCAGAAGAGGGAGCTGGGGCAATGTGGGGAGCAGGAGACAGATGGGAGCCTGGGTGCTACAATTTAACCCCTTGCTGGCATCATGCAGCCCACAGGCCACCAGTTGGACTGCCCTGAGTTAAGATATTATGAGAGATCAGACCCCAAAATGCAAATTAATTCAAACAATAAATTGCAATGTAATCTGAATAACATCATGTAATTTGAAAGCCCCATTGATTCTCAGGTTACAGCACACTAGAAAGGCTCTTCTTCCACTGTAGCCTTGATATTCTAGGTCCACTCTATCTTGTGGGGGCATCTATCCTCAAACACCTGTGCCCAGTAGGGTAACTTGACTGAAGTCACGAGTTATTCTGTGGCACTCCACAGCAAGCCAGAGCGATGTAAAATCTACAGAATCGAGTTGTCATCTGTCTTCTCCGCAAACTGCTCCTCCCTAAACCACAAAGCAATCTAGCTTCTCACACTGCTTAAACCTTGCTCTCTTTTAATCTATCATAATTAAATCCAACGTACTATTTGTGGACATGCTGATGGACTTCTTGTGGCACTGCACAGCTGTGTGCTCTGCCCTGAGGCACTTAGGATCCGGACGGAGAACAATTCAGGCTCAGCACCACATAAGGAAGCTGGATCTTCCAAGGTGCCATGCACCTTTCAGCTTCCAGTGGCTACACGTTCTTCTAATCCAGTTCCTTCTTTGCTCATGCTCTCCTCTTCTCTAGGCACTTTAAGGAACAGCTATATAAAATTCACAGTGCAACTTAAGCCAGTCACTGGGCTTTGTTTCCCTTTTCCTATTCTTCCTCTCTCTTCAAAATGCCTTTTTGCTTCAATACCTTCAGGGCAGGAAGCCTGCTACAATCCATCACCCTAAAATTTGACGTCACATTTGTTTTTTCTCAGTATAATTCTAATCCGTGACACTTTCCAAGCTCTTATCAGAGCTCAAGGTCAAATATAATTGAGCTGCCGATGTACGTGCAAGTTTAATGGAATCTTTCACAATTGGCTTCATAGAAAATAAAGCTCCAGAAAAGAGAATTAATATTTCTTTTTTTTTCCCCTGCACAAGCATTTTTTGATGAGATCCACGGTACTTCTACCTCAAATTCCCAAATACTGCCATCTACATTTGGGGCAGACGGGGAACTAGAAAGGGAGGAACAAGAGGAGGGAAAAAAATGAGACGGAAAAGGGAACTGTTACACTTCAAATATTGAAACACCATTTAAAGATTCCCCTGCACTCTGGTTTCAGCAAGCAGGGTGGGACAGTATAGAAAGTGGAACATCTTCAGCTTTTTTCGCTCTGAGCAATGCACCTTTTCCCCCTAAGAAAGCACTACACTACAACTCAATCCCGTCCCATTACTGCATATTCAGAATACTTATCCCCAAAAACACTATAATACTGTCTCAGTAACTCCATATATTAAAGCCCTCAGAGTCAAAATAACATGCAAGGGGAATCCAGTGAAAACCCTTATCAGTCAGTTATTTTAAGTCGAGTTTGATTCAAGAAGGGAAAATGCTTTTTGGACTTCTGATTTGATTTTATTTTATTTTAACCCAATAATATGAAAAACAACTTTGAAAAATGTACATACAGTAGGATTATACCCTAAGTGCTAAACATGATCACTCTCACCCTAGGTTAAAGCAAGTCTCTATTCCAGACAGCTGCTGTGACCTTTGGGCCCAAATTTGCCATGCAGCCTACTTTTCACTCGGACAAAATTTTCAAGCCAAGGTTTCTTCCAGGTAGGACACCTGCTGAGCTGCATTTCACCAGCAGCAGTGAAATCCTGAGGATTTCCAGACTGAGCTGGAGGGAGGCTACTACTGTGGCCTCTGTTCCGGCTCTCCTCTATGTTGCTCTCCCCATCCACACAGAGCAAATGAAGCAAAGGAGGCTGAGAAGCACATTCTGCAGCTTCTTGAAAGGGCACTATCTCCATCTCGATGGCTAGTTAACAGTGCTAGGGTGAGTAAGAAGCAAGACACACCACCAGGACCAATCACCGTCCCATCCACTTCATCTCAGGAACTTTGCTTGCTCCCTACCCCACTTGAGCACCTCAGCCCTGACTTCTTCATCACTGCCCTGCTCCAGTCTCCTCATAAGCTGCATACCTGGACTTTCCCCGCAAGCACACATTACAGGCAGCAGGAGATAACATAGTCAGACCTTGTTGCATGAAATGAGCTCCGTCAGAATTAGACCCCAAAAACACATCTCTCAGAACGCAAGAGGATTTAAATCGGCCACACTGTGATAAAGGAGAAATGGAGCCTACTGAATCTAACCACTTAGTCTTGCTATTCTATAACGCCAACTAACATGACAGAATCGCTCCTTTCTGCCAATTAAAATTTCTGCCCGTCTTGTTTCTACTCTATCGGGTTTTCTCTGTGTTCAGCCAAGATAAACAAATGGGTTCCCAAAACGACATCCAAGACAAAGACTTGCCTTGCACATTTTATGGATGTTTCATTTCCCTCCTGACACTCACACAACCTCCAGTGCCAATAAGAAAGAACATTGCTGGCTGGCTTCTCTTATGCATAAAAATTGACCTTGGCTAAATAACTGAGTTTCCTGTTTTTGGAGGAGACGGGAGAAAGGGGCTTTGCTAACAAGTAACCCACATAGGAAGAAAAACCAGTAAGGATTCGGAGTACATGGCCAGTGGCCTGGTTTCCAGAGGTGCTGAAAGCTACCAATTTACAGTGACAACAGCTGGAGTTCTACGGGCAAAATCCTTCAAGATGCAAAAATTGAGTCCCTAAACTAGTTGGTTGGAGAATTCAGGCACGAGCTTACAAATGCCAATCCACTGAGGCTACATAGCACTCACTCTGCTCCAGTTAAATGGAGATTACTTTCCGTTCTTTCCTGTCCTTCACATTTTGTGTTGTAAAAGGCCACTCAGCCTGGCTCAAGCATCACGGGAACTGCTGACAAGTAAGGACTACACCACATCGCTGTTTGGTGTTTGAGAGGGAGTCCCATTCAGCCCCCAGACAACAGCAGCCAGTAACTCAGTGGCTAGTGCTGTAATCAAGACAGACCCAGGATAGTAGAGTAAATAATGTTCCAGAAAAATTTCCCAGTGATGTGTGTACAACTCCCTCATTTCTTTTCTAGTGCTCTGCAGGCTACAGAGATTTTGATTCATATTGCATTGGTGTCCACTTGGATACTCCTAAGAGTTCCATTAAGAAGAAGGCTAGCCCACACTTACCTCTGAATTGCTTGATCAAGCTCTGATGGTTTTCAATAGCTTCCTGCAAGATCCTTTCAGGTTGGTCCAATTTCCATCGCCATTCTGTACCCACAGGATTTGTATGGTGCCTGAAGGAAGAGATACTGGATTGATTTGTTGCAAATTGGTAACGTATCAAAGAGACAAGGATTTCTTTGGAAGATATACTTTATTGGAGACCAACTGCAGTGCTGGGATAGAGTTAGACAAGCTTTCAGAGGCAAGACGTTCTTCTTCAGGTCTGAGGAGAAAAGCAAGCACACATCCATAGTAAAAGGGAATTCATAGAGCTGTGAAACATGAGGGGGAGAAAAATTCCCAGGCATAGCAGACAAATGGTTACTAGAGGAAAAGAAAGGGATTACTGGGAGATCAATGCCTATCCAAAATGGGGATGGTCTTTATCACCTTTGTGGTATGTGAGAAGAATTCAGAAATCATGTAGATTATAATGTGCTATAAAATCAGTATCAAATGTTAAGTCTTGGTTCCCAGTGTTCAGCCAGCTTATGATTTTTTGTTCCCAAGCCTGCCTTTTAAAACGTATCAAAAGCAGTTTCTCTACCACTCAGATAGCTGTAGCATCATTTAAAAGGCAAGATAACATAATGATACCCAGCCACACACCTGCAAAATCCTACCACTAGCATTAACCTACACTAAATACACCCCTGCACTGGCACTCAATTTTTCTTGTACCCAGACAGAGACCTGAGCCTTGAGGGTCACTTTGAAGCCTAACTTCATCATGTGGATTAACAGCAGGGGTTTGTTGATCAACCAGGATGACACTGCTGCCAGCCAGACCTCCCCAACAGAGAATGATCTAGCAGTCACAACAGCAGGATACATTCAAACAGGCAGGAACCAAGCCTTTTAGCTGGACAGTGAGATGCAGGTGCTGTCCTCAATGGCCAATGAAAGGACTGGTATTATTACACAACAGCTGTACAGTCTTACCCTTCAAGTGATGTCCCAGAGTCAAATGGATATCAGCCAGCTTAAAATATAAAAAGGAATTGGGTAGCTTACAATATGCCAGAGATGCATCTGTGATAGATCCAGTTAATTTGCAAAATGTATTCAGCTGGAGGTTTTGTTTTGCTTCTGTGATTTATTACCTACAGAATTATTGAAACTGGACATTTAAAACAAAAATGCACTAAAATACACTGCAGAAATAAAAACAACTGATCTCCTACATGCAAGATAACTGGAACAGGCCCACAGTGTTCAGCCTCCCTACCCAACTGACGGCACTTTTACTAATCTCATTTCTCCTAGCTAGTTTAGTCCCCACAGACTCTTTTTCTACAGGCCATCCACTCTGGTGAGAATTTCTGCATTTCTCTGCAGTTCTCCTTTAGTTTGGTAGAAGTTCTATAAATCCACCTAGAGTTAACAGAGCTAAATACCAGACATCTGAACTGCCAAACCAAAAACCTAGAATTACTCCATTTTTGCTTAATTTGCATGTCGCCAACGGCAATGCAGAAAGGGGCTCCAGCCTATAGACCTGATTCTCTTCTTGCTTTCACCTGGGGGAATCAGAGGTAAATCCTAAATCAATAAAGTTAAATTGGGCAAAAATACGAAGGGGGGAAAAAAAAAAACCTCGGGCCCTAAAACTTCACCTTTCAAAAATAATAAACGATTTCTGTGCTTCTCATTCTCATCTTTCTTTCCCTTTTGGAAGCCCCAGTATAAGAATTTTTCCAGTAATCCTCTTCTTTTTCTCTACCCCCTCCCCAAGCGTGCTCATATTTGGAACTGAAAATCTCAAGACTGCTGGTTCATTCTCAAACTGCTCCTGTATTTTCTTGTTTGAGAGCCAGCACTATCAATTTCAGCCCAGCTTTGAGAATAGTTTATTAAAGCATCAGAGAAGGAACAAAATATTCTGCTAGAAACAAAATATTCTGCAGGAGTTGGATAGGCAAAGAATACAGAACGAGGCCTACTAGCTAAAAACCTTGCATGGCTCAAGTAATTCAGTTCAGGTAATAAACCAATCCAAACAACTTACTACCCTTGCTGGGTCAGGGTATTGAAAGTACCTTTCCTCCCATGCTTTACCTGTGGCAAGTTTTGAAGATATTTTTGATGTTCTAAGGGTGCCTGCAAGAGTCTGCTCCCAAAGTTTTTAAGCATAGGTTAAAGAAACACTTTTCTAAGATGGCTTAGACAGGTGATCCTACGTTGAGCAGGGGGTTGGGATTGATGATTTGCTGAGGTCCCTGCCAGTCTCACTTCTCTATGATTCTTAGAAAAGGATATTTCAGAAGTGGTTTGACAAGTGTTTTCTGACCAGCTGACCTCAGTCTTCAATACAGTTCCTCAGCTGCCCCAAAAGACTTGCCTGTGAAGCAAGACCATACCTTTGCAAATGATCACTTGCCATTTTCAGGCTTCCAGTTACACATAGTAGTTAAAGTAGGGCAGGAAAGTGCAATCCAGAATTAAAGAGCAAGTCTGTGCCCAATGAACTCAACCAGAAAGCTCCCATTACTTTCAGTGGGCTGTAAAGGGCGGTGGGGGGAATTAAGGGGGGAGAAGCAAACCCCTTTAACTTTGCATTTTGGAAGGTTCAAAATTCTTAAGTGGGCCTTCAAACCAAATGTACCTTCTCCAGGTCATGAACATATTCTCTTACTGACACTTTTCCTTCTTGCAACAAAGATGGGTCTCAACGTGAAGCAGTTCTTTTTTCGGACTTTCTACAATTTGTTTTTTGATGCTGCCAACATGGAATTTTTTTTGTCAAAGCTAACTATAAAAAAGGTATTTATACAAAAAAACTCTTACTTGTTTAAATTACAAAGCTTATGCCATGCATATTTAATAGGCTGACTTGGCAGAAAAATCAATAGGCTCTTGATGGACTCTGGACAGCCCTTAATTGCAAGTGTCGTATAGACCTTGATTTTAATGCATAAGGGTTTAATAAAATACACTGGGTCATGTCTACACGTGGCTTATTTGGCATCTGCAGTCCTCTTCAATGTGGAAACCAAGCATATTTCATGACTTTGTAGATCGTGCTTCCCAATCGCTGGCAGAGCCAATATTTCGTTCTCACCCCTTCATTCACTAGCAGACCCTAAGGCCTCCGAGAATACCTGCATAAGTAACTGCTCAAATCCTGACCAAGCAGGTAATTGTGGGCGACTTCCTTGCCCTTTCAGCAATAATACATTATGCTAAAAATTACCTGTTGTATTAGATAACTTTCAGATTCAAACCATGCCCACTAAAAGAGGCCGCTCTGCTATTCTGATTACAAGTCATGATTGCTTTAGCACAATGCTGTGAGAAACTGATGAAAGACAGAAGCTAAACTCCATTGGGAGTTCTCAGATGTCCCTTGGCAAATCAATATGGCCTACAAATGAACCTTATTTGTATTCTTGTCAGTCCTTTGATCTATCTGTATCATTTACCAATGCTACCAATGACCCTGGCACTTAATCATAACTTTCTCAGGAAGGGCTGCAACTGCATGTACAACTCCCAGATCATTACAAGTTATTTTAATGAAGTAGCTGCTAGTTTACTACCTGGAGCAAATTCCATAAGCACTATTAACTCTGATAATGGAAAAAGGTCAGTGAAATTACGGCAAAACCTTTACAGACCAAGGAGCCTTTTTCCTGTTCTAAAAAAAGAAGTCTCTCAATAATAAAGATATAATGCAAGAGAACTGGAAATGTGAGTCTTTGCCTGTCCAGGAAATGCTTAGGTTGGGAGAAAAAGCCAGAAGAAAGAAAACATTAAATTTCCATGGACAGCCTGGAGAAGAAAGTCGCTGGGGACTGGGAGTCAAGATGTTTGGAAATAATTGTGGCTCTTCAGCTGACTCTCAATACAACTTCCGGTTATCCTTCCTGCCTGCCTAGTATTTGTCAAGTCCTTTTGGAATAAATATTACTAATACAAAGAAATATTTTACTTTTCTGATAAGAGGAGCTCACCTAGGAGGAAAAAAAGAAAAAATGAGTGTTGTTAATTATAAAAACCTATTAAGGTTCCTCTAGGAAAGTGCACAGTGCTATCAGTGTTTCTACAGAGGCTTTCTCCTGTTAGATACTAGATATAATTATTACCTGTGAGTGGTGGCTTACGTTTAGAGCTGGGTGAAAGTATTTTCATAAATGGGAAATTCAACAAAAATGTTTTAGATTATCAAATTGAGTAAATCTGACAAATAGTTCTGCTGAAAAATACAGGAATCATTTCAAAAGTCTTGAAACATCTTACGAAAATCACAGTGAAACATTTCATTTCTGAAATGCTAGAAGTTGGCCATTTTTTAAAAATAAAAAACTTTGACCTCGTTTCAAAATAGCATCCTTTTTGTTAAAAGTTTAAAGAAATACAGTCTCTTGCAGGATTAAGAAACCCCAAAATGAAAGATTTCATTTTGTTTCAAATAAAACAATTCAAGCTGGCCCACAATAAATGGAATGGTTTCTCATTTCATCCAAAAAACCTCCCCAAAACCACACACCTATAGGTTTGTTTCTGTCAGACCTTACGTTTCTCCTCCCTTCACATACAAATTTCAGCCCTTCGTTTCAAACAGTCCATCATTTGTCCAGCTCTAGCTAGGCTAGCACAGTGCAACAGAATTGATAATGATCATCTTCTATCAGCAGCAGTATTTTTAAGCCATAAAGATACCTTTCTATTGGTTAAGTGTTGCTTGCGGTATTTTGCAGGCTGAAATGTGGAGGAAGGGAAAGAGATGGGCGCAAGAGTGACAGAGTTACTTAGAGGCTACTTTTTCTAGTGAAGTCCTTCGAAATGCATGCGTAAACACTAATAAAAGAGAAGTGCAGAAGGAGCAAACCAATTCTGAAATGTGTACTCCCAAGTATGAGACCAAATCCCCAGAGCTGACGGGAGAAAAGGGCTGCAGGTACCTAGTGCCTCTCAGAGTTCTGCCTGGTGATCACATATGCAATATTGCTTTCCTAAGAAGATACAGATAACAACCAATGTCATCTCTTAGAGCCGTTCCTTAATTACCAGGAATGACAGGATGTAGAAACTTCTTTCAGATCAGTTCATAAGAATACTTCTAGCACTC